AATACCCCTATACATCCACCACTTCCACCCCAAACCAGCAAGCCCAAGCCTCCAACCCCAATCCCGCTGCCAAAAACACCCATCCACCAACATCCCCAAAATCTCACCACCAACCCCCTTTCCAAAAACCCCTACATCACAAAATACTCCTATGACGCCCCAATGACGTCCTACCCCTCGCGCAAGCCCCCCAAAAAAGAATGCCGCGACTGGGACTCGAACCCAGAATCTGCACTCCACACCGCTAGCATAAGGCTAGTACGGGGGCTCTGCAATGTTAATACCACTACACCACCGCGGCTGTTGTTGTGCAGTTGTACTCGAAACTAAAATATAGCCCCACCTGCCCTATTTGGTTTAGGGCGCTGCGGCCCCAGAGCCCCGCTGTGGGGGCCGAGATTTTGGGGCTGGGTTTTGTGGGCTGTGATGCTGGGTTTGGGATGGTTTTTGTATGTGTTTTGTGTCTGTGGGGGTGGGGCTTGGGGTGCTGGAGTGGTGAGGGTATGAGGATAGGGGGAAGTTGGGGAAGTTGGGGGGTGCGGTGGAGGATGGTTGTGATGTCATTGAAATTAAGTTAATCAGCTCGGGGTAAGGACAACTGTGCTTAAGCTTCTAGGACATCTGTTAGAGTTGGGTTACGAAACAACCCTTTTTTTGTAAGCGGTAATTAGGTTACCTACACGACTATAGTATCACAGTCATTAATCGGCATGTATTCTGGGTAAACAGCAGTCATACATCTTTCTTTCTTTTAGTCAACTCTCCTACAGTTTATTGATAAAGAGTCTGAATTGTGTGGAGTGCTGCGGGCCCAGTTTCTTCCACCGGAAGAATGATTGTGCGACAGTGACGCTACATAAAGAGGGGGTATACTTAGAAGAGAAAGGTAATCTAGAAGACCAAACCCAGCCGATTGCTATTGAGGTATACTACACAAATCAGCCCTGCCATCGGATTTTGACCCTGCTTCGCTCAATTGACAAGTACTGGGGAAATCATTAGAAGGTGCTTCATCTTTCAAAAGTAGTGTCGTGGCTGACGAAGGCAGGGGACTCCAACAGATACCCACTACCAAGTAGGCAGTTATCAACTAGAAGCAGCTGCGGTGGAGGCTTGGTCAATGATTTTTAGGGGTAGAAGTGATCGCACTTGGGTCACCCAACTCCGCCGATGGGCGTGAACCCTGCAATGGTGTGCAGACCGGACATCTGGGCCTAATAGCCTTTCCGCCATAGCCAACGACTGGCCCAGGCGGGGTCCAGAAGACACACTGGGGCAGAAATGAGGGCCCATTCTTGAAAGGCAAACACTTTGCTATGAATTGAATTCTATCTTTGTGTTGTGTAGACTTTACCAAGGACAGGGTTCCCCTTTTTGAAAGATTTTCCGCTCCATTTAGGCCCTGGCAGCACTGTCTTCAGGGCGGTCTTCCATTCCTCAATGACGACCAGTTACCAAGCTGCGCTTCGCCTGTCTGATTCCGAGGTCATTGGTCAAAGCTTTGGCTTTCGAGCTACTATCAAAAACATCGGAGTGACCAACCTTTTCTCCCCTGCAACCCGATACGCATTCATCACCCTCACCATGTCCACGACGCGACCCCGGGTTCCTGGAGCGAGGAGGCCCAGCGTCGCGCCCGCTCCCAGGAATCGACCGCCCCAGCGCGAGGAAAACAGCCGCAGAAACGCCGCCACGAGGCCGCCGGCAAGGGTCTCCACGGCTCCGCCCATCCACTTGAACGAGCCGTCAATGAGCTGGTACCAGGGCAAGCTTGCGGCGGCGGCGGCGGAATCGGCCAGATCCTCCGCCGCGCGGAGCTCGAAGCCGACCGCTCGCATGGCGTCGACCACCTCGGCGGTGGTGCGGAGATGCGGACAGCCGGCCACGCGTCCCAGGTCGCGGTGGCACTCGCGGTGGTCGGCGCGCGTGGCCTGGTATCGGTCGGTCATGGCCAGCTCGTAGACGGCGAGGATGCCCCCGGGCTTGAGGAGACGGAAGACCTCGCCGTAGACGGCGGCGAGGTCCGGGGCGTAGCATGTCGCCTCGATGGAGTACGCCCGGTCGAAGGAGTCGGGCTCCAGCTGCGTGGCAGTGAAGTCCCGGGCGACGAAGCGAACGCGGTCGGCCTGGCCGGCCTGCTCGGTCAGCCGCGTCGCGCGCTGGACCTGCGCGGCGCTGATCTCCACCCCGCAGATGTCCACCTCGGCGAAGCGGGCGAGCTCGCGCGCGGGGCCTCCGAGGCCCGACCCCAGGTCCAGCACCTTCTGGTCGGGCTGAAGGCCCAGTCGGAGGGCGAGATAATGCTCGTGACGGATCATGGCCTGCTGCACCGACTCGCCCGGGTAGCAACGGCACACATGGAAGGACGTACCCCGGGCCCACTCCATGAAGCTGCTGCCATTGCTGTAGTAACTGTAGCAAGAAGGGTGTTCTGCGTGAGCGTTGTGGCTGAACGATAAAGCAGGCCAGTTCGACGACTACTACTTACCTGTCTGCTGCTTGGGCTTCACTAGGATTGCCCCCCTAGGCTTGTGTCAGGATGACATTCTCGTCGCCCACTTTGCGCTGGATTACCGGTGGAAAGGGCCCTTGACTTTGACGTTGTGGCATAGCTGCCATTATGTCGGGGACGGACTTGGCTGCCTTGAGAATCACGGGTTATCTGGAATATCCGGCCTTCAGCAGGGTATGATTCCGTCTTCTTAGTCTTTTATGGTCAAGCAAGTAACAAGTAACATCCTCGAGATACATGAATGGAAAAAAATACTCGTCGTGTGGCTTAGAAGCTTGGGTCGATGACTTCAACACCGACCCATGGTTCCGTCGGGTTCCCGTAGTATCTAGTATCCGCGTGCGATCAGCAACGAACTGGCCCATGGCACAACGATGACCGTTACATACCGAGTAAATTCAATGAGAACGTGGAAGAACTCGCAACCAGATGTTTGCCGTCATCATGGTCATGTGCGTGACACTTAGTACGCTAGGGGTATCTGTTCGTCTAGTACACCTCAAGCTCCTGGTCCTGCGGAATTAGAAGATAGTTCATCGCCAGGTCTACTCGAGCCTTGCTCACAGAACGAGGAACTTGGTGGTGTCACCTGTCTTACTTAGGTAGTAAGCTTCCGAGAGAGCCCAGCATTCTGTTAACAACTTATTCTGAAAACTAAGGGTTACTACTAGATTACGTGTGATCTAAGAATTAATCTTACTGCAGAGGTTTTACCGGAGTATCATAAACTCAGTACACGAAAAAGACTACTATATAGCATCCATCTTATCAGCACTACTAGCAGCAAACCTTGTCCAAAAAGCAAAGAACGTTTCCACTTCACTTCACCTGGATCGCATGGCCAGCTCTCTCCGAGGAACCAGCTGGTCGCACCGGGCTCGGTCTCTCCACCCTCACCGCCTTGCGCCTCCAAGCATTGCTTATGCGGTGGCAGGATTTGATGCAGATTCGAGGCAAACGCGTGTGATCCTGGTGACAATCAATGCTGCGTGTGCTCAAGCCTCTGCCTGGTTCCAGACAGAAGAGTCGCGATGAGTGGGCGAGCTCGCCCCAGGCTGACCAACCGACTTAATACCTTTCTCTCCTTACCAATCTCCTTTGTAACATCCGCGTTTGGGATGAACTTTCTACAATTTGGCCAGAGCCCTCTGGGCCCCTGGATCCGACTGGCTGTCCCGGCGCCGTTGTTAGTTGTGTGTGCGTGCGGGTGCGGGTGTGTGTTCAATTTTGTGGAGGGGAGGATTCCGGTTCGAGCATTAGTCGAAAAGGGATTGGCCTAGGTTCGCCAAGTTTAGCGACAAAGTTTGGCAAACAGCCGAGTTGGGATGAGAGCCCCCGCCTCACACTAGCGTGGTTTCGTGCTCAGGAACAGGTGAAGCTGGGGGTGAGGGGGAGGGATGATAGGAGGGTGGTGTCGACGCAGGGCCTGGAAGAGGTCACATGATGTTCATCGGATTAGCAGGCTATCGCATTGATCCAGTTATATTTATTTTCGATTAATGTTATAGATGGCCGCCGGTCAAGTGGAGGGTGAATTTCTGAGAAGAAGAAATTCATTCTGTAGATGTTGCGAGCTTAACTAATTCCTACGCAGGTCCTGGTTGCTTGCTGCTTTTTGCCCCTGAACGTGACCTGCGGATAGGGCTGCGGCCCGTCGAGAGAGAGCACCGACCCGACCAAGAGCAAAGATTGACTTTGTCCGATGAGACATTTTGATTTTGGTACTGAACTAGAGTTAGCCGAAAAATGAGAGCAACGGGTTTGACTTGACCGAATCCGGCCGCTCGAAACAGCCGATTCCTGGCACGAGCGTCGATTTCCCCGGAATCTCAGTCATCTCTGACCGCCGCCGGGCCAGTTCCTGTTGATCATACAATATCTTAAAATTGAGCCCTTTGCACATCACTGTATCATATCATATCCTCAAAGCTAGGGGTTCGATCAACACAATTCTTGACGAACCATACTTTCATTACTGTACCACAGAACTATAAAGACACCCGAATGTCCTCCGAAGTCGACCTTCTCCTACAGCGTTCAACAACCATCCTGCCTGACCTTCGATCCCTCAACCCTAACATCCTCACCTAAATATCAACAACCCATCCACAATGAAGGTCTCCATTCTCTCTGCCCTGACCATCGGCCTCGCGGCCGGTACCCTCGCCGCTCCCACCAAGGTTGAGCGCGACCTGCCCACCGTGACCGGCGTCCTCTCCGGCATCGGCACCAAGGTCGACGCCCTGGGCTCCGCCATCCAAGCCTACAGCGGCGGCGACGTGGCCAGCGTCCAGCAGGCCTCGGACAATCTGGTCAGCGCCATCAACAGCGGCAACAGCCAGGTCAGCGGCACCTCGGCCCTCAGCTCCACCGACGCCCTGGGCCTCCCGGGGCCCGTGGACACCCTCAAAAAGAAAATCTCGACGGTTATCAGCGACCTCGACGACAAGAAGACCCTGATTGTCGAGGCCGGAAAAGGCGCGCAGACCTACAACGACCTGACCGAGCAAAAGGCCGCCGCGGAGAAGCTGTCCGACACGATTGTCTCCAAGGTGCCCGAGTCGTTGCAGAGCCTGGCCGGTACCGTGGCGGGTGGCATCTCGGATGCGATCGAGGCGGGTGTGAAGAGCTGGTCGGATCAGGCTTCCAAGGGCAACGACGCCCAGCCTGCTGTTGAGACCGCTGCTGCCGTCCCTTCGGCAGCCCCCGCTGCCGCGCCCAAGGCGGCTCCCACCGCTGCGCCTGCTGCCGCTCCCAAGCCTGCTTCCAACGCTGCCCCTGCTGCTGCTGCCGGCGCTGCCCCTGTGGGGGGCTGCGTGGCTCGGTATTAATTTGCTACTTGGTCCATGAAGGACTTGGGCATGGAGACCGACCTATGGTGAAGAAATGGGAATTGTGCGATACTCATTGGTTTTGTGGTAATTAATGTCACTGTATGCGTCAAAGCCTTCCAATAAGTCTTTCAATAAATCAATCTACTACGTACTTAGCATACTAGAATCTCAAAATAAGCGACTGAACAGATTTTGGTGGTGATGGTGGTGGTGGTGGTGGTGTTGTCCCAGAAGCAAACTGGGCACTAGAAATGGCCAGGCCATGGGGCCAGACTCCACCCAGTACTTCGCGCCGTTAACATTTAACTCAGTTCGCATCTCCCCACCATTTTCATCCGTCAACCTCTCTTCCAGCGTCTCCTTGAGCGCTTCCTATAGAGCTTCTAGGCATTCTTCTAATAGATATGAAGCAGCTTCTCGCATTTACCTTCACCGGCTTTTAAAGGTCACCCCACGAATGTAGGAAGGATTTGTTGAATAGAGTATGCCAGAAAACGCGTCGCGTGTCGCATTGCTAAGGCAATGATGTTCCTATCCATTTCCCCAGGGAATACAGCTTTTGCAGATAGCCCGCTTCATCGCGCAGAAGGTAGGATAAGCTGGTTTGCAATTGGGTGGATGTGCGGGGAAGAGATAGAGTGATGTGAGATTTAAGGCATCCTAGATACTGTATCTATCTTCTGTGTTTTGCGATTTAGGATTAGCGTTAATAGACCGCTTCTTGGTTGGTGAAGGGCGTTTTCTCGGTGAATGCGGTTATCAGGCAAGGCAAGGGGATTCATAAGGAAACAAGAAAGACCAGGCAACGTGTGCTAGAGAAGAGATTCATGGTATTCTACAGAGAGAGGCGTGTTCTATCCAATAACCTAGTCAAGACCCACGTAGCCGGAAAACCAGCTCACCCCGCCCCGTCCAACGCCTGCCCCAAGCACATCTGATAATACATCCCCCTTCTCGCGAGCAGAACCTCGTGCGTCCCGCTCTCCACAATCCGTCCCCGAACAAGCACATAGATACAATCGCTCCCCTTCACCGTCGAAAGCCGATGCGCAATCGCAATCGTCGTCCTGCCCACACTCGCGCTCTCCAACGCCGCCTGCACAACCCTCTCACTCTCCGTATCCAGCGCACTCGTCGCCTCATCGAGAAGCAAAAGTCTCGGCTTTCGGAGAAGCGCACGCGCAATCGCGATGCGTTGGCGCTGTCCGCCGGAGAAGAGGGACCCGCGTGCACCGCAGGGCGTGGACAAGCCGTTGGGGAGGGAGGATATGAAATCGAATGCGTTTGCCTGGTGGCAGGCGGAGTGGATCTCAGATTCGGGGATTGAGGAGGGGTTTGGGATGCCGAGGGTGATGTTTTCGAGGACACTGCCGTCGTACAGGATTGGTTCTTGTTGGACGAGGGAGAGGTGCGTGCGGTAGGTTTGTAGCGGGATGGTGGTCACGGGCGTTCCGTCGAGGGTTATGCGGCCGTAGGACGGGTTGTAGTAGCGCTCTAGCAGGGCGATTATGCTTGATTTGCCGTGGCCGGAGGGGCCGACGAAAGCGATGGACTGGCCGGGGGAGACCTGGTCATCGTCAGTCAGTTATCTGTTTTGTTTCCGTACCCAGAGAGGATACTTAGGTGAATGGCTCAGCCTTACCTTAATGTTGAGATCCGTCAGAACGGGCCGGTTCGGTCTGGTTGGGTATCGGAACTCGATATCTTGTAGTTCCAAGCTGACTGCATGGTTTTGGTCTTTCTCGGGGGTGTTATGGCTGGGGTGGTTGTCATCCAAACCCCCATCTCGCACACTCGGGACAAGAGAGCGGAGCCAGAATATGTAGTTGCATGCTCCTCGCGCCTTTGTCAGACCTGGAAGCTGGTTAGTCCACGTAAAAGGTTCCATAGAGGGTATGGGTACGTACTAGTCGTGAACATGAAGAATGATGCAGCTGCCTCTCCCGAGAGGATAGCTCCAATAACAACTATGTATAGCTTCGTGCTGGAGTATTCGCCAGTCGAGAGCAGCCGCCCTCCGTACCTATACCGTGTATTAGACCAAGTAAATTCAACGTCGAAAGGAAGGGAGGATACATACCAAAAGCTCAACGCCATAGACAATAACGAGAGCGACTGCGTGAGCGCCAACCACGCCGTCGTCCACACTAAACCTCGGATACTCCTCCGCGCAATGCCTCTCAGAATCCCCTTATACCTGTCCAAAATTACCGGCTCAATCGCCAACGACGCAACGGTGCGAATCGCCGAAATCGCTTCTCCCGCGAGCGCCGCGCTCTCCGCAAACCGATCGCCCGTACTCTTCTCAAGCTGCGTCTCCAGCCTTATCCGAAGATACCCACAGAATGTGATGGGGATCATGGCGCCAGCCAAAACGACGAGACCCAGTTTCCAGCCGACAGCGATAGAAAGGATCGAGCTGGAGACGATGTTCACGACGGCGATTAATATGATGCCGATGTTGAAACCGAGGAGTTCTTGTAGGCTCGTAGGTTTTGTTGAGAGGTGTGAGACGAGTGAGCCCGTTGTGTGCGAGGGTTGGTCGTAGAAGGTCATGTCTTGGGTTATGTAACTGCGAAAAATCTGCATGCGGTAGGTGTAGACAACGGTCTGTACGTGTTAGTTGGTATTGGCTGTCCCGTACAGGGAGGGAAGGGCGCTTACTGTTGAGATGATGTTGGTTACCCAACCAAGGGTTGCGTACACGACAAGGATGACGAGTGCGATGACGAAGAACATGAGCGCGTAGAACTCGCCTTGGTCGATCATTTCTGCCGTGTCTGCAATCTGGAAGGCGTCGAGAGATCTGGCGAAGACGAACGCGAGGACTGGGTGGCTTCCACCTACGAAGGCTATCAGCCATCAAGTCTCCCAGAAGAGGCGAGGCATGAGTACTGTACCTCCAACAATACAAGCGATCACAACAATTACAAACTCCATCCACAGCTCGCGCCGCTCCTTCACGAGGATTGCGATACAGCGCAGGAGGCTCTGGCTGTCAATGGAGTCAGTCTCAAGCTCGAGAGCACTAGTGTCCCTTGGGCCTTCCGCCTCCACAGAGGGCATGTTCGTGACCAGAGCGTCCTCTTCAGTCTCTTCCTCTTCACGCCGTGCAACGTCAGTAGTCTTATTTGCGCCGAGATCCTGGGCTTCGATCAGCCGATGATACATCCCACCCGCCTCATTGAGCTCATCGTGCGTTCCCTTCTCGATGATCCTCCCCTTGGAGAGAACCACAATCTGGTCTGCCTTCCTGATCGTAGAGAGCTTATGCGCAATGACGATTGTTGTCCGGGACGCGGAAACATTGTCCAAAGCCTCTTGCACGATCTTCTCTGCGCGCGGGTCAAGCGCGCTGGTAGCTTCGTCGAGGATGAGCACTTTTGGATCCGAGACGATACTTCGAGCGATTGCGATCCGTTGCTTCTGGCCGCCGGACAGGACGCTCGCGCGTTCGCCGACGCGGGTGTCGTAGCCCTATTTCTCGGGTGAGTCTGTCATCGTTCCAAAAGGAGAGTAGAAAAAGAGTGAATCTGTGCTTCGTACCTCAGGCAAGCCCTCAATAAATTCATGCGCATACGCTGCCTTGCAAGCCTCGATAACCCTCTCCAGCTGCTCCTCGCGGGAAGCATTAATATACTCTGTCCCAGCAAGACCATACGCCACATTCTCGAATACTGTTCCGTTGAACAACGTCGGTTCCTGCTGCACAATCCTCACGCTCGTCCTTAACCACCTCACATTCAGCTCGCGGATATCCATCCCGTCCAACAACACGCCGCCCTCAAGCGGATCATACCATCTCTCCAGTAGCGCTGAGATCGTACTCTTCCCAGACCCACTCGGCCCGACCAACGCCGTCGTCTTGTTGGCAGGTACAGCGAGGGTGAAGTCTTCGAGAACGCGCACCTGCGGCCGCGTCGGGTATGAGAAGGCGATGTTCGAGAACTGTATTTCGCCGCGGCAGGTCTCGAGCTGTTTCCCCAACGTCGAGAGTGCGTCAATGCTCGGCTCGTGGTCGATGACCTCCCACATGAACTGCGCTGCAGAGGCGGCGCGGGTGATTTGTACGATTTGCGGAGCGATTTGGGTCATGGATGTTGCGGCGAGGATTACGGCAAAGATGACCCTGTCCAAGACACAAGGAAGTTAGACAGAAAGATCTCAAGGCTGGTAAGCAGGGGAGACTGAGGGGAAAATGAAAGAAAGGGAGCTCACGTAACAACCGCCCCCGGCTCATCAATCTCCCCACGTGCATACATGCGAATCCCCTGCCAAAACGCCAATCCGTACCCGGCATACGCACAGAAGAACTCCCCCGCATAGAGGATGGCCATATTTGCCGACTGCCGAATCCCCAGCCGTCTCGCCTCGCCCGCAAACGCCTCATACTTACCCGTCAAAGCTTCGAACGCATTGAATGCATGCACAGTCTTCATACTCGCAAGGACCTCCTCCGCCAAACTCCCCGCGTGCGAGTCCACGCGCAGAATGGCATTCTCAGCTTGCACGAGGAACGCGGAGCAGACTGTCGTGATGATCAGGATCGCCGGCGCAATGCAGATTGTTATGAGCGTGAGCTTCCACTGCACGGCGAAGGCGGTGATGAAGGCTGCGACAAAAGTTGCTGTGCCCTGGAGAACGAAGCCGAGTTTCTCCGAGGTTCCGCTGTTGATTAGGTTGGCGTTTGTGGTGACGTGGGTGACGGGGGAGCCGCCGAGAGAGGCGTCGAAGAAGGAAATGGGTTGTTGGAGAAGCCGGGTGAGGAAGGCGGCTCGGAGGGCTTTGGTTGTGCGGAGGGCAGAGATGGAGATGGAGAGCTGGAGTTACAGCGGAGTTGGTATAGGTGTGGAGGGTGTTGTAGGTAGAGAAACGTACTGTCCAGATATAAACCAACGAAAACTTTCCGATGAAGAGATACACAAAGTAAAGCCTGGGTAAGGCAGGTTAGACCGATGAGTGGGTGTGGCAGCACCTAGAACAGGGGAATGAATGCACATACACAAATCTATCCAAACTATCCCGAAACTCCTCGGGCGAGCTCTGCCCTGTCGCAAGGTCATTAAACGTCGTAAGCATCTTTCCGAAGAGAAGATCCATCAGCGGAAGTGCTGCGCCCGCACCAATGGCTCCCACTAGAGCGAGCGCATTGAGCGTCCACCCGAAGGAGTCGGCATATCTGAAGATGCGGAGGTAACTCTTGAGCCCGCCGCTCTGTGGATGTGGATGAGTTCCGGTGTTAGATGGTTTGGAGTATTCATCTGTTTGTGGAGTAGATGATGGTGGAGATACAGCGGTGTCTTGGATTGTCGGTGAAGTGCTCATGATGAAGCAGTCATTGTGTTACGCCGATCAACAAAACGATCTGGCTCGGGGTGGGCTGGCCAGGATACATGAAGTAGATTAATTGTTCTCGCGGGGGAGGGAACCCGCGGGCTCCGAGCCCGCGGACAGCTTAGGGCGCAGCACCCGCGGATTCCGCAGGCTGAATCCGACGAGCGATGACTGGAATCTCGATGCCTAAAAACGCATTGGAGAGGTTGCTGAATGGTTCATCTACTGGTTTTACTTGTCTCATATCTGGCTCAACGGATACGAGCAATAATGAGTACAGACCAGGAGAAAGAAGGAAGATTAAAGGGCCAATTAGCACCAATAGCCCTAAAAACAAAGGCCCGGCCCCAACTACTCGACTATGCCAATCCCACCAGCCTTGTTGACATGCCTGCTCACAGTAGATCTCGTCTTGGATGAGTGATTCTAACTCAGCTGATTGCTACCGCGTAGGCTGTAATATGCTATTAGCTGGCGGCATTACATAGCGGGCATGGGAGTAGATCTTACATCTGCCAGTTTCATTAGAAGACGCCGTCTTTCGGGCGCCGGTGTGCGAGACCACCCAGGGAATGCCGCAGCCGAGAATCCAACGGCTTGAACTGAAGAAGTGTGAGATGGCATCGTGTGCGGGTCGTAATCACTGGTTGGTTGTGGTCCTGCGCCGGGGTTGGGAGGAGGTATAGTGCGGAGTCAGATGATGACATGTCAACTCCGCTGCTTAGGCCTTGAGCCTTGACGCATGTATCTAATATTTGAACAAAAGAGGCCGCTTTGAATTGTTCTACTCTCCCAGTCGTCTTGCTTTCACAAATCAAACAGTTGAGTTCGTCTCGGCTGTGCTGAGTAGGGCCGAAAGAGATAATTGTCAAGATAGCCGGCAAGGTCCTCTTTCATGCAGCTGAACATGGGTACTAGAACTCATCTCTTTGAAATGCACACCTGCAAGTCATATATACGTCTCGATATCCATATACATGTATCTACTGGTTACGTTTGCACCCTCAAACTGTCTTTCATTGCCGCCCGTCCCCAAACATCCACCACCAAGAACCACCAAACGCACAGCCCTCCACCTGAAGCTTGTACACAAGACCTAAGAACAGACCCCAGCCCCCTGACTCGGGTCAATCAAGCCACCGTTGACAAAGTACAAATAATTCCAATAATCCGCCTGGGTCCCCTCGCCATCCACAGTTGCGTTTCCAGAAAACTTGGCCGTCCAGTACGCACTGCCGCGGGTATACTGCGCAAACGCATACAAGCCCGTGTTCAGCGCCTTCTGCCTCCCCGCGAATGTGTTCTCGAGCTCGGCCTGGATCGACCACTCGCCTATGAAGACCGGGAATTTTCCGTCGCCCGCCGCCGCCGCCGCATCCTCGCAGATGTACTCGGTAATGTTGGCCCCCGACGCGCTGCGACCCGCGAAGTAATAGTTGTGAACGTCGAACACGATGTTCGCGTCGGAGGGCAGCTTCGACGACCAGTAGGATTCGGGCCGGAAGGAGCCCTGGAACATGATTGGGATCTTGGGGTTCACGGCCGCGACTTTCTTGTTGACGGCGAGGATGTATTCGAGCACGTATGCGGCACCGCTGTCGGTGAGCGCTGCGGGGGCGCCGAAGGCGGCGATGTTGTCGACTGGCTCGTTGATCGGAGCGATGGTGTACGACGCAGGGTTGCCGGATTGGTTCTGCACGTAGTCGATAACGGCGTCGATTGCTTCCAGGGAGTAGTCGTAGGCGGTTTGATTATTGAACCAGTCAAAGTGGCCAGCGGCCTCGCCGAAGGGCATTCCGTTCACGCCGCCGGGGAGCGAATGCACATCGATGATGATATGCATCTTGTACTTGGTGATGGCGTACGTGGCGATGGTCTTGAGGAAGCTGACCTGGTTGCCGCTGTACAGCTGCGATCCAGGAACCTGAACCCAAGCAGCGTAGGTGGTGGGTATGCGCAGTGTGTTGACCCCTGCGCCCGCTAGCTTGTCGATGTCGCTGGGAGTGATGTAGGTTGCATACCGCCGCTCAAGAGTTGGGCCACACTGGCTGCCTTGGTTGGCACAGAGGCCCCATTCATCCTCGGCGCCCTTGGAGTTTGCTGCCCACCATGTCGTGTCGATGGTGGATTCCTGGCAGAGCCAGCCGCCCAAATTCACACCGTTAGCCCTGTAGGTAGCCCAACTGATGTATCGGGCCATAGAAAGCCCAAAGAAGGGAAGAGTCAATGCGAGCTTCATGATTCAAAAACAAGGAATGAGATGATAGCCGCGGATGTGTGCTGGTAGGTTGCGGTTGTGATTCCTCGAGAGAGCGAACGTCCGGTATTTATCTTGTGCCCGTCGCGAAAACTGTCCCTGCTCATCTCCGATGACTACAGATTAGGCTCTGTGCTTTCGTAAGAGGAATTGGACCCTGAAACAAATTCTTCACGCGATGCGCCATTCTGACGCTTGTGGGGGTGACTAGAGGCACACCGGGGAAGCCGGGATTGGCTATCACGCACCCCGCATCCATCCAGCTGGACCTGACAGGGAATATCACTGTGTAGAGCCCACATCCCGACTCGACATGGAGTCATTAGAAGACAGACAGTGGGTGGGCAGCTCGGACCTTGATGCACCGAGTTCTCTTCTCGCTGAATTCTCCCTCCACATACCGACTTCGCTGGTGTGGCCTTGTCCTTGATTCTCGTGTCCCAGTGCCCTCAATCTTGGCATTTCTAGCCTAGCTTTTAGGAAGACATTCTCCATATGGATGAAGTTAGCTCCCCAGCTCTACCAGATATTAACAGATGCTCAACATCCGCCTCATGGCGGCCCTGCATCACTAGACAAGGAGTGCTTTAGTCCAATCTTCCCCGTCTCAAACAAGTACAAGCGGGATTTTGAGCCTCGTGGTACCGCCTCGAAGGAGTTTCACGCGGGATACCTAGCTAGTGAAGATTTATTCCGACCCAAATACCGTTTAATCCTCTTCAAGACCCCAAGAAAACTCGCCGAGGCACAACTATCCCGCATAAACCACGTTGTCGAGTTAGGATTTGAATGACTCTAAGTATGATGGTATGGGGGCTTTGGTATACTAGGATTCCATTTTATCAGGCCCGTTCCTGTAGTACGCAGGTCTCCGCCCCCACCCCCCGCACGAACGGTCGTAATCCCTGAGAGCCCAAAGGTCCGCTGGACAGGCTCAGCTTTTGCGGCAGCATCAATCCGAGTCATAAAAGAACACACCCTAGTCGTGGCGGGTTGTGTTTTTACTTACTTGCTATATATCACCGTGTTAGATTGGAAACCAGTCAATCGTGAGCAAGTTTCAACAGAACGTTTTTTTGCCAAGGACCACGAACGTATGCTCCAGAAGCAGGTCACATTGAAGTTACTGAAAGCAAATGCTTCTCAAACCAGGAAGCTACTTTGCGATACTTCTTCAGTTATCAAGTATCAGCCTAGGCTTGTCGGATAAGCTCATGTTCTCAAACTATTGAATCACGGAGAGCAGAACGGCTCCAAAACAAAACAGACTTGCGTCTTATACTGCCTACAAGAGAATAGTTTGGCCGGGCTGAGAACTGAAGAACGCAGCTTTCCCAGTGTGTGGACATCGACACGTTTGATTATCCTCTTGCGCATAGCATACAGAGAGAAAATGGAGATAGAGCAGTTGGAACCTAAATTGATACCCTCTAGTTCAATAAAAAACAGGGGTGATGAATTAAGAATTGACATAAAACACATTCTTCCTCAAAATCTTCGCTGTCGTTACTGAACAGCATTGCTGTATGCGTTGACTGCGGCAAGAGGTGCTGTATATATCCTCTTCTGCCTAGCGCGTCACCGGGATCATATACCCCCATTAACACTCTAGGGATTCAGTCGAATAGAGGGCATTGACGCAAACAGAATCGGTGGCCATCTTGCTGTATCATAGCCACTGACATGCAGATACTCCCCGCAGCAAAACCCCAGTGCCTACTACAATACAGAGCAACCAACTCTGGACCGTGCTATTCCAGCCCCCGTGCCCAGGGATTGAAAACGAGTTTGCCAACCGAGACGGAGTGGGAGACCACATTCCACCGCGGGTCTTCACACCTGCCTCAGCTTGTCGCTCTTCCTTCCCATCCCGCATATCTCGCCTACCAATCCAGGATCGACATTCGGTATAAAAACCCATCACATTCAAACTGATTGAAATACCATCGACCAGCTCAAGTTTTTGCGATATGGTCCAACCTTTACAAAGCGATAACAGCCTTCAGATCATCCTAGCCACGAGCGAGAATCACACCCAGGTCAACGGGGGGGAGTTTATGCCTTCCCCGCTGCAGCGAGACGCAGTCAACGGCACAGAGCGAGAATGCACGGTGGACGAGACAAGTTTATTCTTCCATTTGGGAGAAGACTTCAGAGTGTTTCAACACAAGAATCAACTGCATTATTTGTCCAAGACGATAATTTGGATGGATGATGAGACGGAGGACGAGGCGTCGTCGACGGGCGCGTATTATGTTGGGAAACCGGAACAAGAGGGTGCAGCGAGACTGCACTTTGATCCTCTCCAAAAGACATCTTCTTTACTTGCCGCCGAGGAGAGGAACTAAGGGTGGGAAGGTATGAGGATCACTGTGCTGAGCTGCCAGGAAGCTATGCCAGAAATTCTGGAAGTAGTGGTAAGCCCGAGCCGGGTTTACGTCTTTTGTGTTGTGCCCTGAGCACAAATGTCTGTAGAAAAGGTGGAGTATTTTTAATCCAGCCCTGTAGATTATTCGAAGCCTGATCATGTCCAGTCCCCAACCCCTAAGACCTCGACTACTAACTAACTACCATCCGCAGAATCCACCTTATCCCCACCAACCCGCCTCCCCATCCTCCTCAACCAGACCTCCAAATCAAAGCTCCCCTCACTGAGATCCTCAGCCACCCCCACAAACTTAAACGTATATCCCAAAACCTCTTGGCTTCCCTCCCCATCCACAATTCTAATGCGACACCTCTCCGCCCGGTAATTCTCAGTCTCATACACCGCCAACCTCTCGCCATCTTCCCTCGTGCGCACCTGATAGACAACCCCCCGAACCACCGACCCCGGTTCTGCCTCCACCAAAGCCGGATACTGACCCCACAGCTTACATGCGTAGCCGAGGAGGAACGCAGGCTTGAGTTGGGGCTTCTCGGCTACGCCAAGGACTTCACCCAGTATTGACGGGTCGGCGAGGGTGCCGTAGAAGATGTAGGGGCCGGTGGGTGCTGCCACGGGTTGAGCTTTGGGCGCGTGGTTGATGAATCTGGGAGAAGTGGTGCGTAGTCTTAGGACGTGGGGTGATATCTTTGATTTCGGGTTTGACGGGGGTGGAGGTGGGGGTGGTGGAGGGGGGCGGGAGTGGCTGCTTTCTTTGGCTTGGGGAGCCATAATGGATATTGTTGATTCAAATGAGAAAGTAGAAAGTGATAGAGTGCTGTCTCAGCGATTGGTATCTACCGAGCATGTTAGACTGAGCCGCAGGTTCTGGTTAGTAGGGAAGCTTGGAGGTTCGTGGAAGGAAACAAAGCAGCGTTTGGCGGGGAGATCGCACGTGCCGCATAATCACTGGCCAAGGCCGGGCTATTGGCCGCATGTTTCTGCAATCTTGACTTAGAAAAACATGTAACAATGGATGTTCGAGACTTTAATAACCAAGAATTGGAAGAATTACCGTGGGAATCACTCGGTGGATCAGGTGCTACTGATCCAGAGCACGTGATGCAATTAGTTGGTCACGCCTATAGCTACCTTACTACCTATGTAACTAGCTGTCTTGTATGGAGGACTGGGTGAGGTCTTTTGTGCCCGCGGTCCGAGCTACCGTACTCGGATAAGGTCTCGTAGTCGCGATCTACCTAGAAAGACTAGGATTCCAGAAAAAGAAGGGCTGGAGCTGATATATGGGACGCGAAGAACGTGGTCGACATTAGGGCTCAGGGCTGCCATGTGGGAGTTCCAGAACCGTTGCACCCTATCAAAGGTCGGCAATGTCTCCAGTTACGGGGAGTACATTACCGATTAGGCCAGGATCTATATGAATAGACTAACCTAGTTAAGGTTGATATCAATTGAATTTCTATCTTAACGAGGCTAAAGCTTAAATTGGATTGGAACTCTTCTTTGATTACAGGAAGTATCTTTTGTCCGGGTTTTATGTTAGACTATGCTCTATTATTCTTTGGTATTAAGGTATTTAGCTCCAGATATAGTTCTTTAGTCTACAGAGTATAACATGAGAAGGATAAATAACTACGTCCGCCAACGGAGCAACCTACGGCTCTTCGTAACACGGTCGCAAATGGCCCAAAATACAAGCAAACGATGAGGCGCAGTATCTTAGCCAACATTCTGGATGTCCCTGGTTGGTGTCAACTTCACAGAACACATTGCTGCTGATGGTCCTCCACAACGTTACGCCCACGACACTTGCGACGGCTAGTGCAGCAAGGATCCTCTTTGCGCTGGACCTCGCAAGTTTGGAGAAGACCCGGACGGTAAAGATGTTCTGGAGTCTGTAGCGGCTCACGCCACGGTAACGGTGGTCTTCATAGGAACTTCCTCCTGAGTTCGTCATGTATACGTGAAGTGACTTTCACTTCAGAGCAGTCGTTTTGTAACCTCGAATATGTGATCTCCGCGATGCAATCGTCACATTCGCTGCCGCTGACCGCCAACCGGTGGTCTTAGCTACCGGGTAGTTTCCTCGCAGATGGCCTGCCGACATATTCCACCTCTCTCGCAGGTGTCATAATGACATATCATCGACACGAGCAGGTCTTGTACACGTCCCTCTTCCGACTCTATCGAGCTATTGGTGATATCAATCGACAAACCGGGGCGTCGAAGTACATGTTGTATCTCATCCTAGGCGGCATCGCGACCATCGGCATCACGATGCTTATGCCCTACCAGTGTGTCTCAGCTAACACAGCGGCCGATAATGACACGATTCTTGGACATCCTGGTGGCGCTGTTCGAAAGGTCATTCATTCGGTAGGCGTTTGGGAAATAGGCGGGCACGCCCGCTCCGGGGGTCATGACCGAAGGGCCGCCGCCCGCAGTTGGCGTGTACATTGACGATGGCCGAGATAAACAGTACAACTACACTCTTCTGTTAGATAATACTCCCGGTCCCTGGAATCGTCATGTCAACGATGATCTGCAGGTCAGCCTGGCTCCCCGATCAGGGATAGAGGACTACTGTTGCGTGGTCGTGAAGAGCCGCGGCATCGGACCTGCACACAATGTCAAAGTGACCCTGTATGAATCGAACAATCCCACACTCACCCTCTGTCAGGAACACCTTTCAGCGCGGGAAATTTCGAGGCTCCGCGGTTCTCTCGGTGAGAACAAGCAGCAACAACGCTTCCTCGGACCGTTCTCCTGGGTCGCAGATACCAATCGATCATTTGATATGGTTTGTGTATTGGCTGTCATCAACGTCGACGAGAACACTGGACTGGATTGGCCTGCGCCACGGGACCTATCGATCTAGATCATCTAGTTCATTTGACAATAACCTCGCAATTTAATGCTTTGACTGGACTTGATACAGGTGACCAAGGTACTTGACTATGAAATTTGCGCTTTGCCGAATGTGTTTCGGAAGAAAAAAAAAGAAAAGAAAAACCAAAAATCAAGGAAAACGACCTCTAGTACTTAGATAGTAGCTTGAGATCTAGTCAAATTACTAGGTACTGCCTCCTGGCTGCATGCTCACTTTCTGCTATCAACATTGTTGAGGTCTCTGGGAGGTGAAGAAGGCTTGCTGATTCCTCTACGTGAGGCTAACTATCGGAGAACTAGCTAAGGCAGCCGGGTGGGCGGTGAGCTGGCCCCTCAGGCATCAAGGCCCCAGGGCCGCCGTCAAACATCTTGCAGTATGAACAGAATGATGCAAATTTGTGTGTCGTCACTTGTGAATGAAAAGTCTTTACTGGACTATAGTTGAATAACTCAGCGATTGAACAACATTACTATGTTGATGCACCAATATCACACCGCAGTAATAAAATGTCTCGATACGGTTATCACCCCCACCATCCGACAGGGTGGATCGGCGAGCTGAAACCCGCCGGCGGAGGACCGGCGGAGGATCGGTTAATGCTGACTCTGCGGCTCCACTGCAGTGCAGTGGGCAGCCAAGCAAACCCGTCCATCTAGCCAATGCTTGGTCAAATCTTGATCCGAACTACTCAGTACTAGTACAGCTGCAGTATTGCGGGGTTGAGTGCTACGCGATAAGTGGGATTATGCTCCGTACTTGGGTTTTCGCCTCACGCTAGGGTCTCCCACTGCTTATGGCTTAGTTGGTGAAATGCCGGGTTTCTGCATTGAGGAATGAGGGGCATTGTGGGATAGGAGGGTTTGTCCAGACGAATTACATAGTAGATACACTTCGATGATATACTGTCCTTTCAGACGAGCTCTTCAGTGGCGAACCCTGTCAATTGAGGCAAACCCCAGCGAGCCAATCTCTGGGCAGGTTCCAACTTACCTCTCCAGGTACTTTTGCAGCGCGCGTATAGCCCGCACAAGGGTCGCGTCAGCCTCGCCCCCCTCTTTGCGTTCTAGCGAACCCTCCCGCATGTCCAGGTCAAAAACATGATCCGCGCCCTCGACCGGAAAATACTGCACCTCCGCACTACCCTCCTGCAACTTATCCACCAGCCTCTCACTCTCGCCACAAGAAACCTCCCGATCACCCGTCCCATGCACAATAACCGTCGCCGGGAAGCCAGGCCCAAACACGCCGTAGTCCAGCGGGAAAAGCCCCCTCACGCGAGCAACATGCTCATGCCCCGCGACCGTCCCGTCCAGCCCTAACCCCACCACCCTCTCCCCGAACCCAGCCATTCCTGTCAAAAAATCCAGAAACACCCCGCGCTCCAGCAGCAAATACAACAAAGGAAGCCGCTTCCGCGTGCGCATCTCCTCTTCGGAAGACGGGAAATCCTCCCCAACGCTTACCTCGCCCCGCGCAATTCTTTCAGAGACTTCATGTAAAAGGCTTTCCGCCGTAGCAGAATCAACCGCCATCGCACCGGGAAGGTAAACGCTCTGGGCCCATGTCTGACTCCCGAGGTCTAGCAGCGGGTAGAGAAGCCAGAGCGCCTTTGGGGGCGGGAGCGGAGTTTGGCTAGTCTGATCAAGTAGGGAGGCGGAAGGGGAGGTGAAGTGCAATGCAGTCACCAGAGCGCACCAGCCTCCGGCGCTGGCGCCTGCCAGAATGATCTGGCCGGGATCGGCGGTGCAGTCGCCGTGCAGGCGGTGGAGGGAGCCGCCGGCCGCCCATTCGTAGGCTGCGATTGCGTCTTCGGTAGTCGCGAGGCCGGTCGATTCGGGCAGAACCCTGTAGTCGGCGGAGATGAGGGTCCAGTTCTGGGTGAGGGCGTGATGAAGGAGCCAGGCGGGGATCGCTTGGCGGCTGCCTGTTATCTGTGCTGGTTCTTAGCTTTGGGGCATTTCTTTTGCTTTTCTTCGCCTTATTTCCTTGCATTGGTTTTCTTCGACGGCGGTTTCTAGGATGCAAAGTTGGAGAGACTTACGAGGTAGCCACCGTGAAACCACAGGAGAATTGGCCTAGGAGTTCTCAAGTCCTTGCCTGGAGGAAGGTACACGTCGAGTTGGATCTCTGTGGTGAGGTGCGTCTTGTAGACGTGGGTGTGTTTGTCGTATGTTCTGGTCGTCATCTTCGTGCTTGCTTGGCTGCACACACGCTTATACGAGCTCTTACCGATGATCCACGCAGCCCCGTGTCGAACACCCTGAAAGAGAAAAACTCGCTAGGAGTTGGAAGCGCTTATCTACCTGATATGGGGACTATACAGTCTTAGTGTAAGTTGCAATGTGGGGCTAGCAGGAGTCTACTCAAGTGAGGGGTATGGTGCGATACAAAGCATGCAAACAGATAACCGAGTTAGACTTGTGGCATTTGGCTATCTGCCGTTGATTTCTTGTCACTACCACGGACTACTGGCATTCTCTCCAGACCTCAAGTCTCCCCTCCTTCTTTTCGTTGCCCTGGTCTTGATTGTACCTGGCTGCTGTCACTGTTCCAACTCTTGTTGACTAACTATCCTATCTTACCTTATCTAGCCTCGTCGTTCGATCCCACCTATCCCAATTCAGGTACTGAGGTTGACTGGCAATTTTCTGAATAAATACTGCATTGACCCTGCAATCGACCTTGCGATTTGCTCAATCGCACCATTCCTCTTCTCCTCCCCTTTGTCACTTAAGGAGCTTTGTTGAGCAGGCAGACAACATGGATGCCAAATTCGAGAAGTTGCCTCAATACGATGAGAGCGGCTCCGATTACAACAGTCTCTTCTCGGAGACTGGAGGTCTGCTGGGAAAGGATGCTCCCATTACCCAGAGAAGGCCAGCCTGGAGACGATGGATCATGCCAGCAGGCCATCTTGCCGTGCTATTCCTCTACAGCTCGATATTCTTCTTTCTCGTGCGACATGTTCGCAAGATCGAGAAGCAAAATGAGCATGTCGTCTACTGTGTGAGTTTACGAACAACCCCTTCACATTTGCCTGCTCTGACATTATCTGACTGATCCTTAGCACCTGCACAAAAGGCCGTGAAATTGGAGGCGATGGAGTTCCGTTCGTTACCCCTCCATTTGCTTCACTAGCTTGCGTCTTATTGATGGTACTGACTAAGGGTTCAGAGGGCCAGCTCCGGATCATCAGCCCATACCAAGGCGACCCCAGCCCTGAACTCGATCAGGCCTGGAAAGATCTACTACAGTGTACATATCCCCTCTGATTTGCAAGCAGCATTGCCCAAAGTAAAATCCTAACCAACCAACAGACTCCAACATCTGGGTGACCGGCGACGAGCTATCGAAAATCAACAAGACCTCCATCCCTGTCCCCGGCGAGGAGGACAAATACTGGGTTGAGCTGAGTGTTGTTCACGAGCTGCACTGCATTGTCAGTCACCGCCACCACTAAGGCTCTCTTCAACCCTACCTGAGTAACGATGGTATCACTAAACAGAGTTCAACAACATCTAGAAACGCCTCTGCCAATACATCCACTCAGAGTACTACTTCGCCAACATCTCCGCCGAGGACCGTCGTCTAAACGACCTCCACACCGGTAAGCTCCTCCCTGACACAGAACACCTATCACCATTCCTCTAATATGCTCCCACGAGCAGACCACTGCCTGGAGATCCTACGGCAAAGCGTCATGTGCCACGCCGACATCTCCATGATCACCATGACCTGGGAGCCCACGAGCAAGTACCCCGCCGCGGACTTCCAGAACGTCCACGAGTGCAAGAACTGGGACGTGCTGTACGAGTGGCAGAAGGAGCGGTCGGTCGATATGATGAAGCCTGGGTTCTTGGTGCATCCGTATCTAGGTAAGTCCTTCCCGTCGGAGTAGTTGCATTGGAAGGGGGTTTTCTCGTATTCTGCTTCAATCTGTTTTCTATCACTTCTTGCGAGATGATGGCCGCTGACTACAAGTCTTTCGGCTTTCAGGCGTGCCGTTCCCGGATGGGTATTATCATGGCATTGGGGCTGCGGATCCCGAGAATGCGATTGGAAAGGGTGGGGAGGATACGGACATGGAAATGGAGATGGACTAAACGTCTTTTTCAAGCATGGAACAATGCATTTGTCTGCGGGGATATGCCACTGGCTTGTGGAAAACGTGATCTAGGCGCTTGCATCGTGATGATAGATGGAACCAAAACGGACGGCAATGACCGCAACACTAGCTGACCACAGGATTGTATAATCGATGAAAGTGTTGCACCGCTCGGCCAAAATGAATCCCAAGACATTGATCTAGCCCGATGATCTGCTCCAAGGAATCCTCATTCCTGTCAATAAGCAAATGCTTAGGCTCCAGTTCGTAATACTCAAGAGATGCGCTAGGGCTAATTGAGCTATGCTGTTGACTGTCGAATAACCTGCACCGACCAGATCTACCGGGTTCCGCTCGTGTCTAAGGTTATTAGGAAGTTACCATACTTCTCGAAAGGAAGGTTCTCATTGGGCTACGGTCTAAGGATACTACAGCACACTAAGATGATACTATTCTTTGATGTTATGGTCCAGTCGTAGGCTCAAATACTCTGAACGCGTGTTGGAGCACTATGACAGGATCACAATGCCAAGGATCGCGACCAGTTTAGACTAATAACCTTCCACATCGTCTCTGGTATCCAAAAAAACATCTCCTTACACCATTTTACCCGCAATGCAAAGCCTATAAGATCCATAACTGCCAGAGATATATGCTTTTCCCACCAAAGTCTGAGCTACTGAGGATTCAACCTTTACGCGGGCAGCTCTTCTGGCGGTACTCGTCCAGGGTTTATAACCCTTGCATTACTGCCAGATAGGGGATCGAAGAACACAATATGTATAGATGACACTTTATACAACCTAGAGGTAACTTTAGATCATCTTGAAAAGAATCGATTGGTTATAATGGGGTATAAGATTTTACTTAGCCGGGTACGCAGCAATATGCAAAAGGTCCTTAAGCATTGAGGCATGTTCAGATGAGATGGTAGAATTAAATAGTGACAAAGTCCCCTGCCTCCTCCAAGTAATGGACACCTCACCGCCTCGGCCGCGTGAAAATAGTTCCTCCCAGAGGCCTCAACACACTCATGTCCAATGTTGCCAGGCGTTTCGCGGTCCTCCTTGATCTCCCAATGTTATGAGAAGCCTCAGGTTCAACTAGCGAGGACAGGAGAGTACGGAGCTGACTATGCTTGATACGCCAATGTCTGGGCTCACCCCATCTCTTTAGTATGCTGAGGCCTGTTTCTGATGACGCTGGTGACTTCTGGAGCAGGAGCTGAAGCGGCAACCCTTCACGGGACAAAGGGAAGGTTAGCCAATGTGCTGTACAAAGCAGGGGGTAAGTTACAAAAGCTCACCCCAAATTGTCGTTCCCTAACCATACACGGCTCAAAATTTCACCCTCAGCGCCATATTTCCCTTACCGCTTCACTCCCTTGCCCTTGGAGCGATTAGTGAACGTCTACTCCCTTCTTGCATCATAGTCTTGGACATAGTGTCGGGCCCGCACAGATAATCCAGTCTGGACTTTGAATTGAGACGTGTTTATTGGGTGGTGAAAGAGCAGACTGATGCGATATGGACGTGTATAGCCTTGTGATTCAGCAACTTGCATTGGTACAGCACTTCTGGTTTCTTCATGTGCCCTGCAATGATGTTGCTCGAGAACTCCCGGGACACCAAGGCAGTATGCATTGAACAAGGCACAATGCAGAAAGTGCCCTGCACGTCCTGCCGCCAGCCATCTATCTCTATGCTGAAATGTACGCAAAGCACCTGATGAAATATCTATGCATTACTTGTTCAGGGCCGCCAGAAAGTGTCTTGTAGCAATTCCTGTACTTCGTGCTGTCATGTACAAATTATGTCGCACCGGGTGGCATACCCTACACAGGGATCGAGTCTGCGGGTCGCAGAATAAGCCATGGATCCCATTCTCAATCCGCTCAATAATCATGGCATCTCATTCTTTGATGCGGCCGGCCGACCTCGCACGCTCACCTTTTCTTTTGGCCCGGCGGTCTGTGGACCCGCTCCGTTCTTCGGCTCCGAAGCCTGCCTCTAGTCTCGAATCTAGCATGGGTCAACATCAGGACCGCAGTAGCCGAAGACCCTATCACGCTTCATGTACCGCAGTGGCTTCCAGAGGACGCTCAAGAGCCGAAGAAAAGAATCATGAAGCTGGTCTGGTGTGCGTGACAGGTGGAGATTCCTATGAGCATGTTCGATGCAGGTGATTGTAGTCAAAAGCACTGAGTATCCCCACCAGCTGCGTCACGGCAGCGAAAACGACCAATATATGAAAGAGCTGATGGGAGGACCCGTATATGTCGAATCGACCTGGGAATCGACTCTCGGGAAACTTGGTCTATACGATCATCGTACTTAGAATTTGAAACCCCTTTCTGCGCGGGACCTTGAGGCTTACCGCATAAACCAATGCGCCCATCAGCAGGAAGGCTCCCTCGATCAGATAATAGGGCATTCCAGATTGAATCATCATTTGCGAGAGGCCAAACATCTTGATCCCGTGTATCAATGGCGCGAAGCCAGAGAGGCCCGTCGCCACGAACGTCAGGGCCCGGAAAGTGCGAAATTCCGGGCCCCGAAACCTGGGACTTATCATGATGAAGATGGTAAGCAGTCCGAGAACCCCGATCTGGCAATCGAAGTAAGCGTCACTCGGGATCAATCCTGAAAGATCAGTGGGTGTGCAGAAATTGACTCACCATGGACCAATAGACTTTGCGCTGCACAGGCTCGCACCAGAAGACCATGTATATCCCCGATACAAAATCCCCGATCGTCAAGACTACTATGCCAATCAGGTCAAGCCGCAGCCATAGTTGTTCAATCTCGTGGGAGTGATTCATCAAGGTATGGTATGTCGTCGACAGTCCCAGGCAGGTAGTGGCGGTCAAAAGGAAGAAGGCAAAAATGAAGCCATCAGCCACAGTGACATTGGGGTATTTACTTGTCAAATACTGCTGAATATACCACTCGCCGAGGAGAAAGGCGACGGCTGGTATTAGGTGCGAGTAGATGTTGACCGACTCATTGTGGATGTATGACAAACTGCCAAATGATACTCGAGCCGAGCCTGAAATCGGGCGATATCCATGAAGGATGTATTCGTTGTCTTGATGCCAGTGCGGTAAATCCTCGAACGCAAGAAGATCTTTGGATCCCGTGGCAGCCTTGGTTGGACTTCTCTGAGACCGTCGGCGGAGGGTTCCCTGCTCATCCGGTGACCTCTGCATCTGAGGGGATGTAACTCGAAGACGGGTAGAAGATGCCATTGCTTTCACGTCTGGCAATGACCATGATCATAATGCGGTTGGTGGTTGGGGCTGGGGGTGGGAATAAGTTAAAGAAAGGGGGTAAGGGTCGTGTGGGGGGACTGTTGTTTCTTGCTAAACCCGATAGTCGTGCAAATGCTTGTACCGCTGGACTACCTTATGCAAGTTCAAATGTCCCAGAGCGTCCTAATTGGCGTCCTATTTGCTCCGCTAGAGGCCGTAAGCGCTCGGTTGTAGAGACGCCAGCGGCATGACAGCCAACAAACAACGTTGCATTGCCCGACCCACATCTCAGGCGACATGGTCATTGCACTTAATCAAGCGCCTTCGTGATTATGCTGCATAGCTGCATATGTTCGCCCAATGACAAAAATGCCTCATCTGAGAGTCGAGATCCCCTAATTTAAGATAATAAGCTAGCCGCCGGGTCTGGCCTCAACGCTAGTCATGTAAATGGTAAGCTCGTGGTATTGCTAGTCATGTATCATAGAGTTGTAGGGCAATGCGTCCCACCACGCACACACGTACTGTACCTTTACGGTGGAGTCTTATTTACACATACCAACTCGGGGTGGGATGGGTGGATACCCGCGTCGTCCCGGTCCGAACAGGCTGTATCATTCCGTACTATACTATACCATACTGTATCGTGTCGTATTGTGTTTGGTAACTACCCTGACCACCGTCACAGGAGGTCCAAGTGTGACCCCCGTTTGACCACTTATTGATCCACTGTGTATATACATTACATACATCTCTCTGCTCTGATTGAATGCCTCCATTGCATCGGCATGCTTTCTCACACCCAACACAAACTGAGGGGGTGATTCTGTCTCTTACATTCAAGGACGCAAACTTTAGCATTAATCTTTTATACATTCCCATTGTCGATCTGCATTTCGATTGGGTATGGCCTCCCTTGACGAGTACTCCGTCGGGTGGGTTTGTACACTGCCCATCGAGGTAGAGGCTGCCAAAGCTTCGTTCGACTGCATTCATGAGAACTTGCTACCCCCGGATCTGAACCTCAACAACAACAACAACAACAACTATATTCTAGGAAGTCTTCAAGGCCATAAGGTCGTACTGGCCTTTCCAAATTGCCGCGCGTGTGATGATGGTGAAGAAGATGATAAACCCTCCTTAGCGGATGTTGCCACGCAGTTACAGGCAAACTTCACAGCTGTCCGGATCATTCTTGTGGTTGGTATTGCGGGTGCGGCTCCAAAGACGAACGAGGATATTCGTCTTGGTGATATTGTTGTAAGCAATTCGGCAGTCGGTCTGCCGAGTGCCATTCAGTATGCCGCGAACGAAGAGCATATGGAAGATCGACATCTTCGTGATAGAGCGCTAGGACGGCCGACTTCATCACTGCTTCTCACAGCAACGAGGAAAGCCGAGACAGCCGCCATCTTCGGTGACAGTAAGATAGACCAGTACCTCGGCGACATTGTACGCAAAGACCCCGTCGTTTTCTCCCGCCCAGGTCCCGAACCAGACCTTCTCTTCCAGCCGAATTATGATCAGACAACTACTGATTACAGAGAAAGCGCGCGCAGAGATTGCGACCCGGGGGAAGACCGGTCCCGGCAGCCTCGGGAGACACAGGGACCTACAGTGCATTATGGCCTTATCGCCTCCGGTCATCATGCGGTGCGCCACGGAACAACTAGAGACACATTGCCGTACAAACAAAACGTGCTGTGTTCCGAGACAGGTGGGACCGGCTTGAAGGATGCTGCTCAATACCTGATTATCCGAGGAATCTGCAACTTTGCAGATTCGCATCGCTCGAAGCTCTGGCACCCCTATGCCGCAGTGACTGCAGCAGCGTACGCAAAGGAGGTCCTTTCGTTCATACCCAAAGTCTCCAAGACAGTACCTCTGACACCCAACCCCGAGGCTGGGCCCATTCTCAGCGCTTTGCTCTTGACCAGACCAGAGGTTGATCGAAAGTCGCTGATTGTATTGAAAGGGCGCAGAGCCGACGGCACGTGCAAATGGCTCCCACAGCATCCACGCTATCGGGAGTGGTTGTCAAACCCAAATCAACCACTGCTTTGGATCTCGGGTGGCCCCGGAAAAGGAAAAACCATGTTGGCGATCTATATTACAGAAGTACTAGAGTCGGTTGGTGGTGGTGGTGGTATCACTGGTGATGTTCTTCTCTACTACTTCTGTAGTAACCGCGATAAGAATCGGAATTCGGCCTTGACCATACTGAGAGGTCTCATACATCAGTGGATTGATCTTTAACCGCACCTGGCCCAATACATCAAAAACTCCTTTGAGGGGACTGAGACGACCAAGTACACCGTTTCCAGCTTTGTCGCCCTGTGGAGTGTCTTCCTCACGATGCTTCAACATAGTGGGTCTTCACAGGTGGTCTGTGTGCTGGACGGCTTGGATGAATGTGAGAAAGAACTGCTCGGCCAGTTTCTCGATGCCGTTGGGAACTATTTGTCAGAAGCCCCAAAATTGGGAAGGCCACGACTGAAGCTTATTTTGCTCTCCCGGCCCCATCCAGCTATTTCGGGGAGCAGACTCGGCCAGTATCTGCACATCAAATTGGACGACTCCAACGCGGATACAGCAGATGACGTCAAGAGGTACATCACCGCCAAAGTCACCGAACTGGCAACTGAACAGAATCTCTCCGACGAAATGATTGCGCAAGTTCGGCAGGCATTATTGGCCGGCGCCGATGGCACCTTCTTGTGGGTGGGCTTTGTTGCCAATGAGCTTCAGGGGAGGAGTTGGGACAGAATCAACGAAATCATCCACCGGATTCCTAAAGGCCTAGCTGGAGTATATCAACGGATGCTCCAGCAAATTAACGACAAGGAAGCGCTGGTGCCCATTCTTCAGTGGGTGGTTCTCGCTGCCCGGCCCCTCACAATTGACGAATTGACAGCGGCCACGGACATCAAGGCATCCGATACCCTTACTGCAGCCGATGTGACCAAGGGTCGGCTCAGACTCTGCGGGCCGCTCGTGAAGATTGAAGGGGATGTTGTGAACCTGGTCCACCAGTCGGCGAAAGAATTCTTCCAGAGCAACCAGGTCAACGTCAAAGGAATCAGCATGTTCTACATGGACGAGAGCACCCACAAGAGTCTCATGCGGACCTGCCTCGCACACGTCGAGCATAGTTACCTCTCCACCGGAGCGACCGATGAGAGCTTCAACCGCAGTCCACTCTTCCTTTATGCTGCTCAATACTGGCCGGTGCATTTCTATCACGCGAATGACGCGGTTCAAGGCCCGTCCGAGTTCTCACGTCCGTTTTTTGGAGCCAAGTCTGCAATCCGAGACAGCTGGTGGAGATTCTATTGGGAGCAGGAGAGGAACGGCGGAAACGCGCCCGCGTTCACGCTCCTTCATCTCGCTGCGTATCTTGGCAACGTAGCCTGGGCTAGATGGTTGATCAACAAGCATGTCCGCCTCGTTTCGCGCAAGGATAACTACGGCCGAACGCCGCTGTGCTGGGCCGTTAATCGAGGTCATCGGTACATGGTGAAGCTGCTTCTCGATCACGGTGCTCGTGTCAATGTCAAAGATCGAGGCCGGTTGACGGCACTCCATATCGCGGTCAATGGACAGTACAAGGACATCGTATCCATGCTACTCGATCACGGTGCCCATCTGGAGAGCAAGTCTGAGCATGGAGACACCCCGCTGATTCGAGCCATTCAAACGAACTCAAGGGAGATCATCCAGATGCTGCTTGAGCACGGCGCGCGCGTGGACGAACTGCCCACCCCCTCAGGAGTCGCCTCTCTGAGAAGTTCTTCTGACCCGATGGAAGAGAGGGTAGAAGAGCTACTGGGACTTCGAGAACAGATCTTCCTCGCCCGGTACAAGCAGGCGTCGCGAAAGGTGTACCTCGTCATGAAGGCCCTCGGCCTTTCCTTCCGCTTCCCCATCGTTCTTCCCCTGGTCACCCTTTATCTGAAGTTTGTGGCCTTCGACCGCTGGGAGAATATGCCTGTGCTGCAGGAGGTCGCCAGGAGGCGTAAGATGAACGAAATGCGCCAATGGGCAGAAGCATACCGTGAATTCTTCGTCCAGCTGGTGGTTTCCAGGAATCAGAAAGGGCTGCAGGCCATGACCGACCTGCCGACGCAAGTGTTCCGGGAGGTCGCGCCCGGAGATCTGCAGGCCCTTCTCGTGATTGCAGTCCTCGTCGGCTCGGAGGCCAAGCTCGCAGCCGTCCGACACGGGTGGAGAGAAGGCGATGCCATCACCGCCAGAGCATTCTCGCATTGGGCCGCGATCGCCTGCCAGAGAGGCGCCGAGGAATCTTTACACTACGGCGTCCGCGACTTCTTGAACGACTTCGATACCTCGATCCGTAGCGGCAACCGGGAGGACAATGTGGCGCGGACTGTGGTGCTTCTGACATCGCACTTTGCCATGATCGAGAATGACGAGCCGCGGCCAATCGAATACTTCTCCGGGGTCATCGCCGAGTTCTACGAAGGATACATCGGTGGCGCGCACGAAGTTGACTTGTTCAATGACGCAAATCAGGCATGCGCCGGTGAATTGGCCGGCATCAGCCAAAACCGCGATTCCACTAGATTACTTCTCTTCCTGACAAGTGTCTTCCAATTTGCCCAACGCTCGCAAGGGACAGGACGGGATCGCTTCCTCAATTTACCCTCTGCGGCATGCTTGATTGTCTGCCAGGAGAATGCCATGTCTCATCAGTGGCTGATTGGCAAGGCGATACCAGAGACGATGGGTACCTTGATTTCCAAGCAACCACCAGGATTGCTTCGAAAGCGTGCGTGCAAAACCTTGGTGGAGTGCCTGATCATCGGGAAGCAACATGGCTTGATATTGCAGGCGGCTGAATTGAGACGAAGTGCGAATGGAAGTCTGCAGTCTCTGCCCACCGACGTCCACGAGATGGTAAGCCGGATCATCGACATATGAAGCACCGCGCAGCCTCTCGGCTTGAAGCGTGGTGGGGTACAGCGAGAGCCAGGTTGCAAGGAACAACGGGGCCCCTGTTGATACAGAAGATTGCATGTTGCTAATGGCCTTACCGTGTTTGATTTTCTGAAGCAGTCTGCTTGCTTATGGCGTCGAGGCGAGGTTCGCATTTCAAGTAGCGGTTCTGATGAAGTGTTTTGACGTTGGGAGCGATGCACCGCATAATAGCAAGGGATTCTATCTAGCATTTGATGCTTCACGTGGAGATCACTCAGTCTTGACCCTACTTAGGTCTTTCTTGAACTTTCCGCATGGATGTCCGTCTCGGAGCGGTGGGTGTCTCGGGCAAATCCTGTAGCGTGCGCTCATCATAGTACAATTCTCGTCTTCGTGGCTGAGGTTCCTCTGATCTCAAAGGCTGTAAACCAAAAGGGGTTCCGCTCTTGAGTGTCTCCCTCCATTGACATTGACCGTCCATTCCCTTTTGCTGTCACGACCATGCTAGTATGGTTGATGATTTGGCGGAATTGAGGAATTGAGGCAGAAGATGGTTTGAGGCTCCTCTGATTACCGGCGGGCCGGCGCTGACTCTCGGTGTCAGTTGAAATCGAGCTTTTCAGGAAGGGCCATGGCCGAAGAAGACTCTCGCTGTGTTTGTGCTGAGATGGCAGTAACGAGTAGCGATACAGTGGCTGGCTATCTGTTGCTCAGTGGCTGTGCTGCTACGGCAACGGGTTCGCAATACTTGCTCCGTAAAGCACGCATGCCCATGACCTGAGTACGCCTTATGAAAATCAACAATCACCCACCCTATCCCCTCCAATATGACCGACGAGACCTTGCTTCTGTCTTTCTCTATCCCTGCTGTGCGGTCAGCTTGCCTTTCCGGTCGCCGGATAGCCAAAACCTTGGATACAGGCCGACTCGCAAACGATGTCAGCAGTCTGTGTCGCTGTGATAGCACAGGGACTCACAACCCGAGTCATGTGAGCAACGGGCTGTTGACATTCAATCTTCACAAGCTAGGTGGTTGGCAGCAGGGCCAAGACATTAGCCCGAAGAGGCACGAGGCATGATGATCTCAAGCCCTCGCTTCCCATTTTCGTCGCCGTGCGCTGGAATCGCTATCCCAACAGCCGCCTGAAGAACCGCGTCAGACCCGACCCATCGGACTTCGCTTTACGTTTCTTGTCGGATGTTTGGGCTCGAGGTGTCGGTGGGCGTGCTGCCGTCGTCGAGATGGGGTGGTCCAGCGGAGATGACGCTGACGGAGCGGAAGCCGATAACAGCAATCGTTCTCGCATTGGCGGCGGTGGTGGTGATGGTGATGGTACAATCGACTGGTTTGGTAGTAAGGGGCCTGATCGACGCGGGGCGGAAGGCTGGCCATGCGCTCGGAGTGCAATCAGGATCCGGCGCTGAACGCTGGGGTCGGAATCTGGCCGTGCGTGGACAGTTCGATTGAGCCGTCGCAACACCCGGTCATCAGCGATAAATTCCTTCCAAGATCTGCGTCCCATGGGGAGAATATTGGGATCTGCACCCATCTCGAGGAGAAGGTCTACTATATCAAACATGCTCGTCTTCACCGCGTAATAGAGCGCGGTCCGTCTTCCGGAATCCATGCCGTTGACATCATGACCGAGTCTGAGGAAGAGTCTGATCAGAGGAACACTGCCGGTGAGAACAGCTTGCCGTAAGCCTGTCACGGCTCTGCAGCAGCGTGACTTGCTAAAGGCCAAGTTACTGGTGGCTTTGTACAAGTAGCTGGTTGGCTCGAGATCTAGCCATTCTTCCGCAGTAAGCCCATTCTCGTCGACCAGGACTGAAGGCTCTGCGATAGCAGAGCTGTCAAGTAGGACCTGAATAGTGGCAAGATCTCGACTATGAATGGCTAGGTGAAGAATGGACCAGCCATGGTTATCCTGCTGCGAGGCACCGGATCTCATGCAGTCGTCTTCCAAGAGGCACTGGACAACGTCTGAGTGCCCCATGTAGGCGGCATGATGCAGCGCAGTCCAACCATGACATGTTGACTTCATTGGATTGGCTCCCCGTGAAAGGAGCAAGCGTACAATATTAGCATAGCCTCCGTTTGCCGCACAATGCAATGGTGATGTACCATAAGAGCTGACAGCGTCAACGTCGGCCCCTCGATCCAACAAGCAGTGCACGGTCTCCAAATGGCCTTCCTCCGCTGCCCAGTGTACTGCGGACCAACCATCCTGATCTTGATGATTAGGATCCCCGCCAGAGGAGAGAAACATGTGTACAATCCGAAGGTCGCCAGAAGCTGCTGCCGTTTCTAATGGGGCTCTGTGCCTATTTGCGTTCTGGGATATGCTGGCACCGTGGATCAGAAGCATCTCAGCAACTGAAGACCAGCCAAGTCCCGCTGCCCAATGCAGCGCAGACTTCCCATCCGCGCTAACTGCATTAGCATCGGCGCCTATGTTTAGCAATTCGTTTGTGGCCTGAGTTTGCCCTGCAACCGCAGCCCAGAGACACGGAGAAAATCCATGATTGTCAGTTCTATCTCTATCGGCACCATGTCCGACCAGAATAGATATGGTATCAGTAAGGCCTCTTTCTGCAGCATAATGCAGGGCTGTCTGGCCGTAGTTATCACCCAGATCTATGGTGGCCTTATCGCCCGCATTCAGCAGCAAATCCATCATATCCCGACCCCAGGACTGTTTCATGGAGGCGTAATGTAACACTGTTCTGCCATCGTCGTCCTTGCTGTCCAGACCTGCGCCTCCGTGAGTCAGTGACTGAACCAAAATCAGATCACCGGCTTGTATGGCATGGTAAAGCTTTGCCATTCTGGAGCCATGTTTGTCCTGTAAGTCTAGTCTTGTTACCGATGCAGTAATATCCTCTTCGCCATGGTCCTTGCTACCATCTGCAGCCACGGCGTCATCATCCCAATACTTGAGAGCTTCATCATCCATTACACTGTACATGGACGCACGATATTTTGCAAACCCTGGCACATCATCCTCTAATGGCTGGTCACTATTAATATTCTCGGCGTCTTCCTCATTATCGCTAGGGAGCTTTTGCAACGTGAGCAAGGCGATCTCTTTAATATGAGCAGCAATGTGTGACTGGAGAGCTTCACTCGAAAAGACAGCATTAGGCTCGACCTTGTCCGGGGATTGGAAGTCATCGCCAAATGGGCATTCCAGTATTCTCTCAAGTAACGGTCTTCGTGCTGCGAGGCTGAGAGTTCCGATATGCGTTGCAGGGACGCCGTGCTCCTGAATGGCATGCTCTTGATAGTGAATCGCCTCATCGAAAGTGATCGGATCATGCGAAGGCGCTCTGCACTCCCATGTATGCCCGTGAGCATTCTGCATGTGGCTGATCCAGGCACCGGACGTCTCGAATGTTGCTGGGCCGGCTCCATGACAACCCGCTTCCAAGCATTGTGCGGAAACACAAATGAAAGGCTCTAAGTCTCTGATGACGTGATTTCTACGAAAGGTTAACCGCATTTCTCTCCCAAAAAAGCGAAAAAGAAAAGAGGAAAAAAAAAAGCGAAAAGAAAAGATAACGGTTTGCTTACCGCCACAGCATTGGCTTCGCTCTGCTCTTGAATTCAATAATGACGCCACAGTATGGACACTCATCAGTCGGCGGTAATGGTGGGAACGACAGATTGTTATTCACTAGGACAGACTTGGCTCGAGGCACCTCGGTCGTAGATTTGGCGTAGAGAGCTCTAACAGCAGATTGTCGAGCAGTAGTTGCATTGGTTATGGGCACGGGGGGGGCGCTTGCTGCTCCCAACATCGTTTTTGTTGTCGCAGGCTTTGGAAGCATGCTCGAATCAAAACGTACAGTTGGAGCACTTCCATTTATCTTCGGCAGTTGGACAACAGTTGGGGCAGTTCGCGGATGCTGAACACTCAAGCCGATTCGCCTTCGATGGGTTCGCTGGTAATACAATCGTCGTAGGCGCGCCGCATTGGCTTCGATTAACGCTGTGCGTAGGGAATCCGGTGCCATTGGAAAACGGAACCGGATATAGCAATCTGTGTAGAGACGCAATTCAGCGATTGCCTGGTTTGCTTGTTCATCATCTCTGTATCTTTCGATCCTACGCGCCCGGTCGGCTTTCGCGGATTTTCGAACAGCATTGGATAGACGAAAGAGCCGTGTGACCGTCCCGCCAATGATATCGGTGATCTTTGAGATGTTCTCTTCTGCTGGATCTCCGTCGCTGTCCGAGTCACTTGCATCATCTTCGGGTCTCCTCCTCCAGACTTCCGAGTCACTGCGTCCTGACACACGCTGTCTTTTTCTGCTCGGAGTCGGCGGTGGGTTCTCAATCGGCTTCACTTTTATGAAGAACTCTTGTTAGCATAGACTCTTCGACCATTTCTCGGCGATCGGGCACAGCGGGTACTTGCAAGACACCATTGTATCACAAATAAGGCCTAGGAGCTGATGTATGATCTCCACAACCGTGGGACTGAATCGAAGCCTGTAGTCCAGCGAAACGTTGAGCGGTCCATAAACATCCATGTTTGCTGCCCATAGGGTGAATCGTGCCAGCTGATCATCCATGATGGTAGGATCCGGCACAATGTCTGGTAATACTACATATTGGTGGAAAAGCGAGTTGCACTTTGTTGCGTGCTCTGCGATTGTCGGGTGAAGATCATCTTGGAGAAAGATATCTTCCATCATCTCATCTTTCCCACGATTTAGCACCTCCATGGTCGATGGAGGCGGTCCCGGCGATTTGCGAGAACAAGGCAGCCGATCCCGTCTATTCGAAAATAGAGTATCCTCAAGGTTGTTGTTGGACAAGCAATTGCGACCAAGGTGCAAAGAAGGGTCGCATGGGTCCGAAGAGTGTCAGATGGTGAGACACCGCCATATGTGTTGGTCTATGCTGAGTTGTACGGGAGTACTGTAATAAAGACTTTTGGCCCGGAATGAATTGCCCGGTGCGCGTCACAAGCCAAATATACAATAGTGTTCCAAGTTGGTACACCCTCTGGTACACCCCCTGGTACACCCCCTGGTACAGTACACCCCGAGTCGTTCAGGCCAACTTTGTACCAAAAATACCCGAGTTCACAATTGGCTTACCAAGGTGGCGGCCAAACTCAACTGATCTGACTGTGACAGTAAGTTAAGTGCTCCGTGACCATGACAAGACCAACTAGAAGCGTACCGACTAGTAAGCATGGCGGTCGGCGCTGAGTGTGGGTTTCCAGACTCACGACTCGATAACTAACCAAATTCTATACCTATTGCTATTGGTTAGTCGATGAATTGGAAGAGTGAGTGAGGGGTTACAATGACCAAGTGAAGGCAACAAGTAAAAGGGGTAGCATGAACCGCGATGGCATGGGATCAATCTCGCCTCTCTCACCTGTGCCTGGCCCAGTCAAAATAACTCCAACCCTCCCCGCCATTGCCAAACATCTGGAAGTCATGACTCTTGCAAAGACCTATTTTCTGTGTCCGACATCGGATTTTCTCCACCCACCGCCAGTGGGTCCGCTGTGTCTTGGATCTATACTCCGCTCCACGTCAACACCGCAATACCCTCTGAATAGAGGGGGATCTGTTGTCGTGGCCGCGCCATTACCGCCGGTCGTGGACACCAACTGGAGGAAGACCATCTCCACCGAGCAAGGACTCGGGTGCGGTGTCTATGCACAGTTCTTGCAGCTGGCTACCGGGGAATCGCCTCTTGGGCCTGAGGTGAGCGTTGAGACTTCCAGAAAAAGGGCGGAGGTGTTTGCATTCGATCGGATGACGACTCTATCATTCGAGCCATCGCAAGAGTACGTTGAAGAAGCTATCCAAGCACCGGCCGTGCAGACGTGGCTGCGGGAGCCCAAACAGAGATTCGCCCCCGTGGTCTCGCTCTTTCTCGTCACGGGTATGAAACTCGTTCAAGGCGCCAGGATCCGATACTCCACTGCGCAGAGTGCAACAGTCCGAGGAAACATCGGTTTTGACGTGACTGCGCTGGGTACGTCCATCGGCCCAAAGGGCCACTGGGTTAGCAGGAACGAGGACGGGACTGAACTCAATCGTGAAGCGGAATTTGTGTTTGCGTTCCGCGTGAAAAGGCTCAGATTCGGGCGCAGACTGAGGGTGGAAGAGTACAACAAGGGCGCATTCTTGGCCATTGGTGGAGAACAAGAGGATAACGCATCTGTTCTGGTCGAGGAAGTGGACGGGTCACAGATGAGGGCAGCTCTAGCCGTTCCGGATGCGACCGAGAATGGGAATGTCTATTGCGTCCCCGCTTAAATATGCTACAATCTTTTCGAGACCCCAATGACCAGTGGGCAGCTCTACCTCAACGGCATTGTCAGGACCTAGCTGTCTAACTATACATGTGTTTCTTGATGTCCCCAATCTTTTCATAGACATGCTTCCTTGTCGAATCTCTATCAAATATGACATGGGGCGTGAGGTAGTGATAGCCTGCTCCTCTTGTATGCCTGACCATACTCTTCAGAACCGCATCCATCGAGCCAGCAAATTTCAACCACGGCCCCAGGGACTCACTGCCTGGTTTGATATATTGGTCTTGCTGTCGGACAAAGGACAGAACCGATGCTGCTAGTCCAGCGGCTATAGGGGTTGCGATCGATGTACCTGACAGTACCTTGACGGTTTGACCGCGGCCATCTTGGTTAACTGGCCAATGAGAGGAGACACACTCCCCAAGTAGACTGAAGTTGACGTCTTTGTCGTCTGCGGTCGGGTTGAACATGGAAGGATTACCATGTCCATCAGTCGAGTGTATACAGAAGACACCGGGATACTGAGCTGGAAAGGCCCTGCCAAGGTTCCCTCCATCATTCGATGCCGCCGAGAATAACAATGTCTGACTGTGTATAGCATTGGATATGGCTTCTTTTATTGGGGGGCTGTGTTCACGAATCCCGAATGACATCGAGATGATGTCCACTTTCCATTCGGAAATTGCGAAATTGATGGCCTGAAGAAAGATTCAGCTCGAATTCGATATCCTGCTCTGCCATAGAGACAGTCCTACCTCTGCAATATCGCCGTAGGTACTACGATCGAGTGTCTCTCGATGCGCTATTCTGGCGATGTAGATCTCAGCACATGTAGCAACTTTGAGCAGAAGCCCAAGAGCATGAGTGCCGTGCCCGATCTCATCGCCGATGTCTTCTGGCTTTGTGTTCGCGATGAAGCTTCGCGCGGCCTTGATCCGTGGATCCAGTTGTCGATTATCGGTCATTAGAAGTGGATTCTGAGGGTCAAACCCAGAATCTAGGATCGCTATTCGTACCGGTTCAAACGCTCTGGGCTCGGCTTCAATTGATTCGTAAGGGTCAACAAAGTGATGAATGGAAGACAGAAGGTTGTCCATCCATTGTTGCGAAAGTTGACTCCTGTCTACCTATTAGAACCGCCAAGCATCGTGACCATTAAGAAGAGACCTCACTCTTGTTCACAACTCGCCTGGTAGCTTGCATCAAAAAAACACAAGCTCTTCGCTGGCGGCTGCGCCAAATGTCCGCTGAGTTGCGTTCTCAAAGGAGGCCGTGCCGGCATTGGTAGAGCCATCTCTGAGTTGAACGATGTGTAACCCGCAGGCGTGATGTCAGAACTGAAACGGTCCGGAATTGCTTGGGCGCCGATACTTTCATTATGTGGGTCTGCCTTGTCTGTTCGATGGCGCACAACCTCGCACCCGATGGAGCCCCAGCGGAGCCTATTCTCTTGAGACTCAAATGAGCCCAGATCCTCTAACCGAAGTCCCCACCCCTTGATTATTTCAGACTCAAGCCGCTTGACAACATTTTGGTAAAATAGTCGCTGTACGCTGACCGATTCAAAGTCAGCCTGCTGTCCAGGGGGTAAGTACTCCCACTGCAGGCATGCCTTGGTAGCAAGATAGTAATCTACGCTAGCATCAGCTTCCAAAGATTTAAGCTTTTCGAGACTGGTGTAATAGTCAGTGTTGACGTTTCTGATGGTGGACGGGTCCTCTTGCATCAGGTCCACGGGTGTGCAATAATGAAGCTCGCACAAGAGTATACCAAGCGCTAGCACACTGGCATTGGGATGCACCCTGTGTTTAGAGTTCTCCGAGCCAACGCCGTTATCTTCATTGCGGTTCGAATGGATTGGGATGTGCTCTAACGCGAGGAAAGGTTTCGTAATATCTGGAAGTTCTCCACTTTGCAGTGGCTCAAAGAACAGAATCTTTGAGTGATTGAAGGAAGGCTGCAGCCACGGTGTCTCCAAGAATGGAAGAAGCGCGGTAGCCAGAGTGACGGCCAAGACCCGTTTACCCTTGAATGGCAGTACAGATGAGCCCCCACGTAGTTCCTGCTGACGCTTGAATAATGCCGACAACGAAACCGTCCCAGACGTGCTATCACCACCAAAGGTCTTTGGTTGCGGACGAAGCCTCTGGAACCTCCCATCTTCAAGAGCAAAGTTCAAGCAATTAGCCTGGCCAAGAGACTCTGTAATGCTTTGACAAAGGTGGGCGAATTCGGAAGCACCGCCAGTTGAAGGCTCGAATGTGCTCCTCATCCTGTCATCATGTACGTCTCTGCCGCGAGTTCGTCAGTCAAAATCATTGCCGATTGCCGAAGGCCATAAAAGCTTACTTGACGGTTATTCTGGCTTCTTGTAACTCTACCGCAAGAAGAGACCGTACGCCGAAGAAAACTTCGAAGCACGTCTCGACCTTCAGATCCTTCCTTTGTCGTGGCAGCGAAAGTCGGACGCTTAGTCCTGAGCACTTATGGCAAACACAGATCCAATCTCTTCGTAAAGCATTGTTCAAGGATAACAACCGTCTTCTCATCAGCACGGCGAAGTCGGCATTCGGGTCTTCGGGATCATCGCACGTAGCTGGATTTTCGCGAGGTAGAACCCGGCGTCTCTTAGCGTCACTGTCCAGATACGCCAGTTCCTGAATGACAGCTTCACTTTCTCTTCTTCGTTTACCAGGGCGAATGGAGATTTCAGGGCTGGGATGCGAATTTTGATTCCGACATTCGATCACGCTGCGCATCGTCTGAAGCATCGGATACGGCACATCATGCAGTAGGCGCTGGTGCATTACTTCATGTTAACAAGTAGCAAGTGAGGGGCTGGAAGACTGAAGCTTGTTGTATATGAAGAGCGCTTACATAGTCTGGTTCTCGGGTAGAGTCGTACTGAACATAGTCTTCGAATGCACGCAAGACCTTTGCACGACGTTCGGGCTCAACCTCGTCCAAGTCGTCGGCATCTTGCTGCAGATATGCATCCGTTCGAAGCCAGGCTTCGCATGCGCGCGATCTCAATGACGCGGGCTGCGCGGACCTTTCCGGTGGTTTTCTAGCGAAAAACCCAAGCACAGACTTCAAAAGACCTCGAGAATCGTTTTCGTCCATCATTCAAAATCAGCCCAAATGGAGGAAAGATTTGACCGGGACTCAAATCGGCTATAATATGCAAGGATTGAACGGCAGAAACTAGGCGCCTTGGCTATGTGTTATTAAAAGCCTGCCAGTTCTGGCCTCGGGGCTGTGCTAGCCTGCTACTAAGAAGAAAAAAACATTTCTGATTTTAGGCCGTTTATTCACAACCCTCCTTCTGACAAAAAGGATCTGGGTAGGTGGTAGCCAGAAAAGACTACTACACTACGGCAGGTCCTTTCTTTTCCCATATCTACGCGTACAATTGTCTAGTAGAAACAACCTTTTCCCATGAACATGGGGTCGCGAGTGACAGATAGCGGATCTCAGCGCGGAAGTATCCGGGATGACCCCTTCGGAAGACCAAGCGGAGAGTACTGGACTAGTAACACTATGGACCATGTACTGTACTGTACTGTATTGGAATTTCCAGTAGTGGGGCTAACCCACTAGGTTCGGCGCGTATTTCAGCCCTCAAAGCTTGGACCAGGACCAGGAAACAGCTGCAGTGGATTCTCAACACGACAAGATCTTCCTATCTTTGTTCGGAACACATCAATAAGCCCGCTCTCCAGCCAATATCCTATAGATTGGGGTGGATTCTCCGGCTCGAGGGTGGGGTAAGCTTGATCGGTTTGTTTATTGTTTATTTATCTCTTACCGCGTTTCTGGGCCGTCCGGGTGGCCCGACGGGGTCCCAAAATAATGAACAGCAGTAGACTACGGACCTTGGCAGTGACAAGCCCCGACTCACTAAGCGGCTAGCATGAGAATGACTACGAGCAGCTGATAGCAATGGCTCAATTAAGTGGACCCGGGGCTTGAAATCAACTAGTAATCTATCGGTAAGTTGGTTCCTAGGTCATTTTGAGACTTTGCTAGGAATCTGATCCTTTGTCTCCTCACTGACGCCACAGCGGCATAACCATTTGTCTGCTTGTTGAGTGGCCACAGACGTGTATGTAACCGTCATCCTATGGATGCTAGCCCTGCCGTTTCTACCGGGAGATAAGTGAAGCCTTGCTGCTGTAGGAGCGCCCTCCTTTCTATATGAAGCGGCAGCGCTAAGGCTATGCATCCATCCACGGTACCGTATAAGTTACCAGCCCTGCTGTACAGTAAGTACATGCGTGCCATCCTACCCCGGATAATCGGGACTTTTGTACGGAGCAAATTGGTGCTATTGTCAATTCCCGCTCAACTCACAATCAGTCCCATCGCCCTCAACGAATAATACCAAGCTACTATACCTTTGCGCTGGTATCCCTCGACTACCGCCTTGTTCTAGGTTGAGCTAAGCCCACTGTTACATGACATTTTCCTGGTGACATCTCTCTGCTTCTCTACTCCTTTTCCCGGCAACTTAGAACTAAGCTCTTTTTTTATTCTTCATCCTGGCACTGTCCGACTCTTGATCCTCAAATATCTCGGGAGTAATATTATGTCAGGGGCAAGATTCCAAAGACGGCAAGTGCCGAAAGTCAATATGAGTACCAGGATTGATTCCACGAACCAGCCCAAGGTCAAAGCACGCATCGTTACGTGGCGGGAGATCTCCGAATGGCAATTCGACAACAAATATATCCTCGGTGGCTACCGGCCCGCGAGAGCAGACTATATGGAGATCTTCACCAGCCTGACCTTTTTGCACAACGAGTCGTGCAATGTCTACACTCATCTGATTGGGGCTTTGCTCCTACCACTCGTTGCAACTACGTTCCGGCGAGAATTGGCACAGCCTCATTTCCTCGGTGTGTCATTTATGGACTACGCTATGTTTGGGATCTACTTCTGGTGTGCGGAAATCTGTTTGGTCCTCAGCGCGCTCTACCACCTGATGCAACCCCACTCGCATAGAGTAGAGCAGTTCTGGCATGGAATGGACCTGCTTGGGATTGTTGTTGTGACGGTGGGCACATTTTCGTCCGGCATCTATTATGTCTTCTTTTGCGAAGCGAACTTGCAGAAATTGCACTGGACCATTGTAAGTCTCCCCCGTGGCGCGCTTCTCCGCACAGCCCAGTGGAATGCAACCGTACCCTGACGCAAGCCCTAGGTCCTACTTACGGGATTCGTCACCGGTGTCCTAATCTCGAATCCATTGCTCAAAACACCGCGCTGGCGGAAATTGAAGGTGGGCGCTTTCGTTACCTTCGGTGCTTCATCATTTATACCTTTGCTACATGGAGTTCAACGATACGGGCTCGGATACATGCTGCAATACTCGGGAATGCGATGGTATCTACTTGAGCTGAGTCTCTATGGGATTGGAGTCAGTCTTTATGCGGTATGCCTGCACGCCCACTCACTCCGCTTTCTACCCCGAGAGAAAAACAATTCTGACAAAGCCGTATAGTCCCGTATTCCAGAACGCTTGGCGCCTGGAAGGTTCGATATTTGGGGGAGCTCGCACCAGATCTTTCATCTCGCTATCCTAGGCGCGATGTACACACACCAGATTGCTCTGTTTCAAGGCTTCACAGCCTGCCATACATTGGATGTGTGTCAGCTCCAGGGTGTCTATTGAGCAAATTGCAGCTTGATTCAATACCAGTGTACAAGCTACAGTACATACAATCCACAGAGCACATAGACTCGTTGGCAGCTGCTTCAATGGTATGACGCTAAATATCGAGAAGGAAGATGGGACAGTAGAACCTTGTAGACCTCAGTACGGTACCGAAGAGATATGACTCATGGCCATTGCTCTTCAGAGAACCTCAGTCCCCCTTCGCTCTGGCGGCCAATGTCTGTGTTTATTAGACGCTAGCAAGAAATCCGCCAAAGATACTCGAGGACTCGCTGGTAAGAACGTGCTAGCCTGTCCAGTGCTATTGAGGGTTATAGCTGTACTGGCTTCGACTAGTGCTTCGAGGGCTGTGTCGGTCGTCATTTTTAGCGGAGAAAATGATTTACATTGGAACAATTCCGAATGATGTAGAGCACTTAGAACATATTATCATCTCGAATCAGAGCCTCACAGCAAGACTGATCACTCTGGCTGTCACATGACACTTTCCCCACAATCCTGTACCGCTTCTTATAGAACTCAAACCACTCATTGAGAATCGTCTGCTCTTGCTCCCCGAGGTGGTGAAACTCAGCTGTGCACGACGACTTTTGGAAGGATGATCGAGCCAGTGCATGCGAAGGGTCTTTCCCCGCATATTCTGCATGGTGGCAATTCGAGGTCAATTTCAAGCCAGCATTTAACGCCCCTCGGCAGGAATGTACAGGCGTACCGTGATAACATCCCCCCGGCGCGAAAGCGGGATTCCTGCTCACGTCGAAAACGATCCCCTTGATGGCGAATAGGGTCGGACGGGCGGGATCTGTGCCTGAGCCCATGTCAGTCCGGGGGTCTGGGCATCGTGCTCGGTGTATTTGCTTCGACATACCATCGGCAAGCTGCAGTTCGTGCGGACTGATAGGGTCGAGCTTGTCGAGATCGAGTTCGGGATACTCCATATTCGAGTCATTACTTGCTAGAGTTCCTAGGAAAAAAAAATATAGCAGGATGCACTTTACAATTGTAGTCTCGTAACGGATACTCGACTTCTTAAAGATCATCCCTTAAAGTAAGAACTGTGGTATCTCCCCGCACTGCCACCCCCGGCTATTCTGTCTCACGGGCATGATCGGTTGCTGGCTCTGGACCAAGCCTGTGAAAGGAGTTGGGTAGGTGCAGGCCTCACGTTCCCACGGAACACGCAAAAATAAACCTCAGCAATAGTTCATCCGGACAGCACAAAGCGAGATCCTTTGCGATTTTCCCCGCTATCATTCCGGTTCAGTGGAGATGGTACCGAATCGGGTGGAGTTTGCCACCCCGAAGAAACAATGGTACGAACATCCCTGCAGCATCATCGATTACGAATTCAATGCTCAACTCCAGGTCAAGCTCATGCTTCCCCACCAGTCGGTAGAATGTCTTTGCCAATTCTCGGATCCGACTCCGCAGGAAGCCGTTAGGCAACAACGCGCTTATCCGGGGTTATTCTCTCGCAGACTAGTAGTTCAGAAGTGGGAAGGGTCGGCTAGACGCATATAACACCACCAATACGGGAGATGCTAGTTTTATAACTCTTCACAGCTCGATATGTGGCTCTTCAATCAAGTTGAACACCCACCGCTCAGGCTATATGATACTTATACGCAATATCCATCGCCATTGACAACAACCAGAAGCCTAGCGACTTCCCTAAGAACCCTCGTCCCTTGACTCCCATCAAGCCATGAATGCCTTCCCAACGCGCTCCGGCCAGATCTTGATACACGGCCACTTGGGCGTCAGGGTGCACGACAGGGTCGGGGGTCAGACGTACCTAGTAGTGAACTGCCTGATGGTAAACAGAATGCGGCCCAACAAGGGCCCTTTGCGACGGACACCAAAAGGATAATTAGCAGACGGAGAGTGTGAGAAGTGTGAGAGGCAGGCAAGAAGGAATGCAGTAGAGCGGTCTTTATACTAATTCCATTCCATAGTGTATGTATACCGGCCGTGTAGATACGAAGCCGCAACTCCCTAAGTATACTCCTGATACTCCTGTGTAGGAAAGATATAAGACGCCGGAATCCAGTTTGTGAAACTCTGTTCATGATTCATTGGTGGTGCCGGGTCGGCTCTTCGTGTGTACTGGTTCATTAATGACATACAAAACTTCCAAGTTGATATTTTCACAAACCAAAAAGAACAGCAACCCTCCCCAGATGGACCACGCGGAACCTTCTAGAGGTCGTTGGCCAGTATCAACCCCCCTAGTCGCTGGTGA